ATCAATTGTGACATCGGGAATATGTTGAACTTTTTGGAAACAAATAATATATAGGCATCGTTGCACAGGCTCTGACCGTTGTATACCCGTTTTTACCACTCGCATGGCAGTAAGGGAGGTATTGCATTGGGGTAAAAAATGACCCCTCACTTTTTTGACGGAAATACACGTTTTGAAGGACCAGGAATCCGAATCAAACAAAATCTCGATGATGTCGGTCTGTTTGTCCGTTTGTACTCTCATTTCCGGCTAAACGGCCGTTGTTGAGAGAATCTTTGCACGAATTCAGTCTTTTTATTCTAACACCACCAGATGGAAAGAGAGATCGTCACTTTGATAGCTGCATTCTTCTCAAGGTCACGTCAAGTTTTCCAAAGTTCTTCTAAAGTTTTTCTCCTGAAATCTTATTCACGTTCCCTTCAATTTTTCAATTTCCTGACCCAAAAACAACGAAACAAAAAAATGGTTCCGTGGAAGGTATTTGAAAGGTACCAGAATAAAACATAAGTTTGGAGAAACGTGTGAAGCTTTGCAACAGAAGGTATCTTGAAAATACTTTAATGAAAGCAATAAAAGAAATAAAACCCCAATGTGGTTTCATTATAAGGCAGGTTTCTCCAAAATTTTGCTGCTCTATTGTTTTTGTGTCAATAATTTTAGTTGCTCTATACATTTTTAAGTCAATGGTTTCCGGATACGGTACTGACCGATTCATGGCGCGAGAAAGTTGGTCACGCCCGTCTATCGGGAGATAAGAGCAAATTTAATGGGTTATGCGTGTCAGTTTCTGATGAGCTGGGTCCGTTTCGTGACGTAGCCAGAGAACTGCTTGCGTTGAGGGTTCTGGCAGAACTTTCAGAAAAATTCTGACGCCGTGGTTTCTGGCCAATTGCTTTTCTAAACGTGGGATTGGTGAAGGCATGTAAAGTTATTGGTTGGACGAATAAAGGTGGACGTTGCAAGCTATTAGAAACCCTTTTGAGGGTGTGGTTGTAAAATTGGAAAAAGTTGAGATTAAGAGAGGGAGTGAGGTGTTAACTTCCATTTAAACATCAACTCTGAGTTACAACGCAGTGACTAAAAGGACTAGAAAAAAACGACTGACGGTATTGATTTCTACGTGCCTGAATAATGCTATTTTGTTCTAGCTTCAAAAATAATAATTTATCTGCCCAAACCAAAACACTCTTTTTCTCTCTTTAATTTGTTACCCCAAACAATAAAAAATAGCAGATCACTGAAGCAGTTTAAAACAAAAATACGACGTTTCCTATCGGCCAATGTAATTTACAATGAGGGTGAGTACCTCTCTGTAAGTGAAAATGTTATAGTGCATTAAAAGTTTGTTAGTGTTGACGTTGTAATATAATTGTACATTGTTTTTTACAAAAAATAAAAATAAGAAATAAGAAAAGGAGTGACAGAAAATTGAAGGAATCGGCCATTTTTCAGTTTTTCACACTAAAGAAAAATCAAAAGACGCAGCTTATTTCTGGAAACGGTAATGGAATAAGCATGAAAACAGAGGTCACTAGTACCTAAACCGTTTTCGATTATCTGCGCTAATAAGAAAGTTACTCATTTAATCCCATCCAAATTAGACCACACTGTACATGTATTTCTGCTTTATACTGGCGGGCTGTGTCTGCAGCGGTCGGTCGCCACCGCTCTAGATCGCCGCGTTTTTGTGTGCTGCACTTCTCCACCGCTACCGCTCGAACGCTTTAGTATGCGTTGTCTGTATAAAGTGTGTGCACTCCTTTTGCCCGCGACCGCGTAAGTTTGCGCAAACCTTTATTGCATTTTATAAAAATGTTATAGTTACCATTTACACATAAAAAGCCGAAGTTTTAATATCAGCAGAGTCTGAAACAGTCCAAGAAATGGAAGAATATGACACATTCGAACAATACGAAGAACCGAAATCGAATAGATCTATAAAGTACAGGTCGTGTACCAAATTTAGGAACGATCGACCGCATCTACCACGATCAAAGGGCAAAAATTTGTGCCGTCGTCTAATTAAATAAAATTCGTAGAAATTGTAGTAGGCGTAGAAATTGTTAAAGCATCCATAAAACACGGCAAAATAAAACGGGTTCGTAGGTAATTATAATTGGGTGAAATGTTCGGTTATTTAAACTAATTCTTTAAGGAACAGGTTTTAATCACAATGTAAGAAATTAAAAATTGTAATTAGATTACCTACACAATTTTTATAATTACAACTATAATTTACGACCTTTTCTAATTTATACCAATTATATACTTGCATACAACCACACGGTCGTGTAGGTGTGCAAAGATAAAGTTATACGTACAACAGCTTTCTATAAACGGTAAAATATCTACAGTTGTATCCAATACGTCCTAGTTTCTTCTTGTCAACCACCATCTTCCTTATTTGGAAGTTTTCTACATTTTATGCGCGCCCTGGATATAAATCTTGAGAAATGCACCTCAACTTCCTTAACGTTCGTGCAGTTTGCTTAACTCCCACAACGCCTCTAAACTAAGAATTCTCTTATTAATTTACATTGCGAATGTTGAAACAGTACACTTAACTGCACGAAATTAGATGATTGTCATATTTACATTTAAAATTGCCGCTAATGTATTTAAGAATTTCTGCTGCACATATCGTATAGATCTTGGCCGTGATAACGCTACCATATAATTAACCTGCCGCAATTCCCTAGTTCTTATTTAAATAAGCGCATTATGCACACACACGCTGCACGCAAGAAGCATATAACCGAGTGTTTTAGATACAAAATTGATATCAAAATTAATTGACATGCTTTGTACATTCCAGAGACCCATTTGGTTGTGTACATCTTTCACATGTCGTGACCAAATGGAAATGCAACAACATGATACATGGCGTTTACAATGTTATGATAGTGTACCGAATTGCATATTCAGAAGGTATGGGTAACACGAAGTGTATCAAACACTGACATCCAATTTTCATAACTGGTACGTAATTATTATACGATTGATATTGTTGCTTATTTGCATAACTTCTGATAACAATTCCGAGGTTAATTGGATTATTTTTTTTGGCCATCAGCAATATTTTTGGGAGTCACACCACAAACCGTGATATGCAAAATGTTATATTTACAATATTGGTGCTTGGTGGGCTGTTAAGCTCGAATTTAATCCAGGCTAAATAGCTCTAAAATAATTTATTTTCAAAAAAAAATTAGTTACCGGGCGAAACCGTGCTTTTCAGGCAGGTGAAATGAATAGAAATTGGGAAAAAATAATTAAAACAGCTGAATTTTACGCGGGTGAAATCCCGGGGGTTGAAAGGGGTGCAAAGTAGTGTTTTGCAAATTGTGGCAAAACTGTTATAGACGAACATGTTCAATGTAAAAGTTATAGAGAATAAAAAAAGGAGTCACTTTTGTATCTGCACTATTTTCACATAACCTCCAATTTTCCTAGAAAAACCGGAAAAACTGATTTTTTGTTTTTTTATCTTATTTTTGCGAAAAAACTCGTAGGGGTTTGAAATTTGGCGAAAATATAACTTGTTTTATGATAAAAAAGAAGATAATTTTTTGGGCCCGCAAAGTTGAACCGTTTCCAAGATCTCACGATGTCAAAAAAAACCACCTCTTTTTCAAGGGGATGAAATAGTATATTACGTAACGAGTGTTGAAAGCGATACTTTTCACACGAGATGTGAAGTTTGCCATACGAGGCGAAGCCGAGTGTGGCAATCACACGAGTGTGAAAAGTGGCTTTCAAACGAGTCATGTACACTATTTTTCCTACGACTCTCCATACAACCAAAAATCTACTTACATAATGAAACAAAAGTTATTTTATTTGAACCAACCTACTACTAAAACTATCTAAAAATACGAAATAGATTCAATTTCTCTTTAACGAACTATTGTTATAATTACTTTAGCAAAGAGGTACTTGTCGTTTGGAGCTTCTGCAAGAAATTTACTAATATTATTAGACGTACGCTACTTTTCATAACGCAATTTAGTTGGTAGTAATTCGAGTGTAGTGGATTTTGCCTCTTCCCTGATGTTGGATGGAGTACACTCTACATCCATGGAAGAATCACTTTTCGCCATTAAAATTAAGTAAGGAATTAAACGCGTAGCGCAAGGGAATAAATTCAAAAATAAACTAATCGCAATTTTAGAGTTTGACGTACGCCTACTCCGTTGATGTTACAAGAAGATTAGACTACTACGAAAGCAAAACGTAACATGCGATTTGCTTTCTAATATATGGTAGATCTTATGAGAAAGCAAATCACATGGGTGCGTTTTGTTTTCCGTTACATATTGCCATAAGTGAGCGAAATTGTCAATTTTCAAGTAAACATAATTGTACGACATATGCCATTTTCAATGAAAGTCGTAGGAAAAATCTATTTTTTCTCCAACCACCTGAATAAGACGCTATTTTGTGACAGTGTTCGCTACGTAAAATTGGCGTTTTGCGGATTAATCGTAATCACCATGGCAACTGTACAAAAAGTGGATACTTTTGGTCCTAGTACCAAAAAGAAATTGACCTTGAAAGTTGGCCAATTAAAAAATTACAATGACGGAGATATGTCACATTGACATCGTTTTACATTGCAGGTTGTAAGATATTTCTGGGTATACATACAAATCAAATATTTTTGCATATTCAATGCAAATAATGCTGTTACCTATACGGATGTACATGCATTGAAAATGATTTACGCTCGCTATTTTTATTTAAACAATGTGTAACGTAATTTACATATTCGGTGAACGTAATTTTAATACGTATACAACCCGCCGTTGCGCGTAACGCCATCTACTTCAGACCCATTGCACTATTATCTGTCATTTTGAATTTAAAATTTGAAAGTTAATTGCAATTAATTTTAATTAAAAGACTGTATGGTAAGTTGTTTATTTCAATACAAAATATAACAATATTAATTTTGTATACATTAGAAATGACTGAAACTGATTGCGACATGGATTGCACTCCGCCAGAAATTATGGAAACGGCAGAACATGCGACTTTAGATTTGCTCCCTATAAAGTCGCGAGAGGTGTATGAAAATTCATATACACGCTTTATGACATGGCGCAATAACAATAAAGCTAATTCATTTTCGGAAATAGTTATTTGTGTACCAAGGCCGTAAAAGTGATCTTTTTTGGCCGAAGCTGCTGTTTGTGGCCGAGGCGGTAGCCGAGGCCGCAATCCAGATGAGGCCTAACAAATCACTTTTGGCCAAGGTGCACACAACATTTTTTAGGCGATCATCAAAAAAGAATTCAAAAATTTGCTCATAAACATATTTTTTCTGAAAATCATGGTTATCTTAGACAATTAAAAACAAAGCATTTCCTATCATGTAATAAATTATAATTAGCATCTTTGCGTGTGTTTTGTGCGTATCAAAATGGGTGATAGCGATAGTTCAGATACCTACCCAAAATGAAATTTTGGAAGCTGCAAGCGTTGCGACCCTAAGTCATATATGATATAAGAGCAGGCGTTTGAGAGTAAAAGTACAATCGCAACTTCCTCCGCTGCGCAAGATTTTAATAATGTCAAATGCAATAGGTCCTTCGTAACTGTGGCTTCCATGACTTTATAGTTAACATGCTGTACAATTATTAGAAACCTGATTACCTACTTTGATGGTAGGTATAGGTAGCTACTTGTGTTCTCGGTTAATTGCTGGTGATTATTCGTATAATAATGTAAGCAACAACATCTTCCTCATGTTTTGGTTCTACAATTCAAAAAGGTCTGCAAGCAGTAAAGATTGAAACGTCAAACTATAATTTTAAATGTGAACATTGTGATTATGCAAAATGGTGTGAAACATTCCTACAAGTCCGAAAATGAAAAAAACGCACGTGGATGGCCCAATCCTTGATGGCGCGAGACCAGATAGACGCTTTGTATCAAACAGATTACTGTTTCTCACACATCAGTTTCAAATAAGTACAGTTTGACAGATGTGTACAATAAAGTAAAGTTTGACAGAAGCGTACAATAAAGTGAAACTTTATGGCCGCATAAGCGACCATAAAATCAACGTTTTTGTGATGATAGCCTAAAAATGTAATTATTGCGTATCTTGCCGATTTAGCGACTAAAATCAAGCCGTCAACTCTTTGGAGTCATTACTCCATGTTGAAAGCAACGTTAAATGTCAAGCATGGTGTCGATATCCGCAAATATCCCAAACTTGTGCCTTACCTGAAAAACAAGTCACACGGTTATCAGCCGAAAAAATCAAAAACGTTGACGATGGAACAAGTGCAGTCATTTTTAACTGAAGCACCTGATTTCAAATATTTAATGACTAAGGTAAAATCACAATTCACAAAGTTCCCTTTGTAGTTCTCACATTGAAATATTTTTAGGTTTGTCTCATATTTGGTGTCGCAGGTGCATTACGCCGTGATGAATTGTCACAAATGAAGACGTCAGACATCACCGACTTAGAGGGTGCTTTATTAGTAAAAGTACCCAATACTAAAACAAAAAAACCGCGCTCATTCACAATTACCGGGGAACAATATTTAAATTTCTATAGAAAATATGCATCATTACGTCCCGCAGATATGAACACAAATCGTTTCTTCATTAAATACCAAAATGGCAAATGTCACAGGCAAGTTGTCGGTATACATAAGCTCACATCAACAGCGCAAGAAGTTGCCACTTATTTGGGATTGCCGGATCTGAAGCTTTATACCGGGCATTGTTTGCGAAGAACGTCTGCTACCTTGCTTATGAATGCAGGTGCAGACATCAGTGCCCTGAAGCGTCATGGAGGGTGGCAATCGACAAGCATTGCGGAGAGCTACATTGCAGAATCTGTAACGCATATGATGAAAACTTCAGATCAAATTCTAAATAATGACTTACCGAGTCAACAGGATTTTAATCTCGAACCGCAACCTTCCACCAGTCGTGCTGCAGAGTCTAACGTAGTTAGTGCACTTTCTAACCATCCAGTGCAAGTTAATAACTGCACAAATTGCACTGTAAATATTACTTTTAATTTAAATACTAGTTAGATTTCTTGGACGTTTTTGAGGTTATATTAAATTAAAGTTTCTTAAGTTTGCCTTACCTTGAAGTGTTTGACTTTAATGCGATGCTGCCAGGCCCCCCACGAGCATCTACACCTTATCAATCAAGTTCAATTCCAATACTTGGCTAAATGTAATCATACGTGTACGCTAGTCGAAGTAAGAACGAATAGGTTATAAGTTAACCTAAAAACTAGAGTGGCATGACACGTGAGGACATGAAAGCAGAAGTTCTCAAACTAGTAGTGAAACTGTGAACTGAAGCTAAATTCGAATATAATTTAAAGTAAAGGGGGTTGGAGAAAAAATTTTATGTTTTATTCGTACAAAAAATGCGTTTTCGGGACTCGGAAGGTTGCTGGACTCCGCTAACGCGTCGTCCAGCAACTGCCTTCCTCGTCCCGAAAACTGACATTTTTTGTACTAATGAAACAAATAACTATTTTTTCATCGTACAGAGGTGCGCGGGGTAGCAAAATTTTCGTAAAGGCTTACATTTTAATAATCAAAAATAAAAAATATTCCAATAGAAAAAATTTAAGAAAAGCAAAAACTGGGGGAACAGTTTTAAGATACAATAGATTAAAAGATTAAAAGATATAATACTATAAAACAGGCAGGAAGAAGAGTCAGTGAACAAAAATAAATTGTTCAGGAATCAGGATTTTTGCGGTAAAACTGCAGATAAAAGAAATAATAAAGATGTTTTAACTAAAACAGTTGAGCATAAGATAACAAAAGAGAATATTTAAACAAACATTAAAGAGAAGCAAGAAGACAGCTTTCGAAAAAATCTTTATTAACATCCAACATGTTGATTTATCATGTCAAAAACCGTGTATATCTTAAAACTGCTTTTTCAGTTTTTGGCGATTTTCTCGAATTTTTGCTATAGGAATATTTTTTTATTTTTGTTTATTAAAATATAAGTTTTCCCGAAAACTTTGCTACCCCGCGCACCTCTGTACGATGAAAAAAAATCGATGTTTCATCTCCTTGAAAAAGAGGTGGTTTTTTTCAGAAATCGTGAGATCTTGGAAACGGTTCAACTTTACGGGCCCACAAAATTATCTTCTTTTTTATCATAAAACAAGCTATGTGTCCTCCAAATTTCAAACCCCTACGCCTTTTTTTCGCAAAAATAAGAATAAAAAACGAAAAAAACGGGTTTTCCGGTTTTTCTAGGAAAATTGGAGTTTATGTGAAAATAGTGCAGATACAAAAGTTGCTCATTTTATTAATCTCTATAACTTTCACATTGAACATTTTCGTCTAAAATTAATAGTTTTGCCACAATTTGCAAAACACCACTTTCCACCCCTTTCAAACCCCGTGATTTCACCCGCGGAAAAATTCAGCTGTTTTAATTATTTTTCCACAATTTCTATTCATTTCACCTACCTGAAAAACCCGGTTTCGCCCGGTAACGAATTTTTTTTGTAAAAAAATATATAGCCTGGACTAGTTAGTTTTTTTTTGTTTTTGTTTGTTGTTTGTTGTTAGTGGAATTTTCTTTTGTTGTTCAGTGATGGTTAATTAACACATTTTCCCAAGTGCGAAAAGAAGGGGGGGGGCTGCGCATTTTCCACCTTACTTCGGTTTTTCCTCAATAACTGTTTTCCCTTACGTCCTACGGCAAAAGAATCATCTCTATCGCACATGCTTCCATGCCAATTCTTACCAAGATATGTCGCTTTCAAAAAATGCCATTTTCGAAATAATAAATAATAAGTCAACGTCAGTTAGAGGTGTAGGTGATTTTCTAATTTCAGGCATAAAGAGTGATCGCCGTGCATCTTCCATGGACTTTCCATCATCTTACGAAGAAGCCAACAGGCTGGCCAGAAGGGTCGTACGTACTGGCTGCAAGATGAAAGTGGCAAAATTTCTGATCCATTCAGTCACTTGATATTTGACAATGCGGACGGTGCATGGGTTTGGTAGAATCACCATCTTGTAAAGGATGTTACACAGACAATGAGACGGCGCACCACATACTTTGAGAATGTTCCGCTCTAGTCCAACTGAGACGATCCATGTTGGGGTATCATGGCCGGACATGGCTACGATTAGAGCCGCCTCCTCTTCTAGCATCCTTAGGTTCATCTAACGTGTGGGATGGCTTGAGTTACGTTGAGAGGTCCAACGACTTTAGTTAGCGAAGAAGTACAAAGGGCTCGCATTTGAGGCATAGCTACGCGTGGACTCTGTCCACCTCAGGTACTTGGTTAAACCTTGGTACAACAATGGCTCAATATGCTTATATTGTTTCATATAAGTAAATATTGGTTCCACATTGTCACAGTAATGGCAATTAAGCATCTACACTAGTTCTTTGAACCACATGTTGTAATAACATTTACTTAATATTATAGAGGAGACATAGAAAACCTAATATTGTTAAATATTAACAACAATATTGTATTCTCAGCGTCCTAATAAGTAGCTTGGGTCACATATTGTAATAATATATCCTTAATATTGTGGAGGCAACATAGAAAATCTTATATTGCTATATGATTTTGTAAATATTGTAACACGAACATAAAACCAGTATTCATCTGATATAGATATTTTGAGATGATGCCAATATTGTAATTAGCAATATTAAGACAATATTGTATTCTCAGCTTTTAATAAGTTGCTTGGGTCCCATGTTGTAATAATATATTTTCCTTAATATTGTGATTTATTTATTTTATTTATTTATTTATTTATTTATTATCCCTCTCTTGTTATGGGCCCTCAACAGGCTTGCGCCCAATTACAGAGTGACCCGCATAATGCTTTTTAGAGGTGCCTCTGCAGAAGGTCTTAAGTTGTTCTGTACTACTCCTTACGAATTAGAAAAACTGCAGGGAAACCTAATTCGGAGTAGTCGGCAGAATGCTCGAAACTGGTCTAAGGTAATTCCCATCTCTGCCACAGATGGAAAAATTCACCTCAACCCAGGTTCGAACACCCGGCCCCCGGATTTATAGTCCAACGCTCTACCACTGAACCATAAAGCCGGTGATGGCGATAGTGTTTCAGATTTACATCGATGTAGAATACTAATATTTCTCCCAAGTTACAAAAAGTTCACATTATGCCATTGGGCCAATATTGCCATTACGGAAAACGCATTATGTACCATCTAAATAGCATTATGCGGGTCACTCTGTAATTGGGCGCATGCCTGTTGAGGGCCCAAAACAAGAGAGGGATAATAAAATAAAATAAAAAATAAAATAAACCCGTACAAGACCCGCGGGCCGGATTTTAGAGACTTAGGTACCCTAATACTACTCTGATGTCAAAAATGCACCGGGAATTGGTCAATAAAACGAAAAATATGCAATATTAATCCAAGTTTTTGTATCATCTTCAAAGAGGCCCCCCTCCGAAATAATACACTAGGTCAACGAACAACCCAATCACCAAAACATTTTTTAATCGCATTTTTTTGGAATGGATGTTGGTTATTAGAGCTACAAAGCGAGTCACATAACAAATATGAAGTATTTTTTAGTACTACAACGGTCAAATCAGGAAAAAAAAGTTGCCCATCGGGTTGTCCGGTTATTAATTAATTGCGCGTGGTTACAATGCCCCAGAATTGAATTTCCTTTTCAGATACAGTAAAAATATACAGAGTAGTCATTTTCATACCCTCGAGATGTTACTATTGATTCGCTTTTGTGTATACAAATTATAAACGTTGAAAATGTTCAATAAAAAGTCCATTCAGAACAATATTAATCAAACACTAACCTTTTTCTCTGTCTCTTCAGTTTTACCACAGCAACACATTTTAGTACGATCTCCGACTCATGTTCTTACCTGAAATAAAATGTAAACACATTTAAGAACATGAAAAAATATCAAAGGAAAATTAAGTCACCAATGAGAAGTTGCGAGTTACAGAAAAACTTGGCACTTTTATTTGAAGCTTAGCCTCTGTGCCTTTGATTTTGTCAATCATGTAGGAAAGTACTTAATTATGAAAATGGCTTTGAGATGAGACACGTTTGCAAAACACGCCGTCGAAAAATCAGCTTGCAATGACATTTTGTGATGCGGTATGACATTTAATTTCAATCTTTTTTATATTTATGAAGTCGGTTTGGGTTTAAAGTAAAGGGATATTGTTATTATTATTAATTAAGAATTCTGGACGTCAATTATATTTTTTTTCGTTGTTCATATTCGTAAGGAAAGAAGGGGAGGAAGGGAGGAGTCAAATTCATTAGGATTTTTGTTTTTTTGGCGCTTGAAACAGTAATACCATCCTAAAGTATTAACGATCATCGCACAGCCGTAAAAATTAGTGCCATCGAGATAATATTTACAAGTAAACATTTAGTCCCTCAACTAATACCTGAAAAAAGCAGCCTACCCACGACGAATTATTCAACCTCGACAAGATTTTTTCGCATGGTGCAATGAATTATTTTATGATGTCTCATAGTAAATGTATAGCCGATCCGCTATAAAAACTGACTTTGTTTAAAAAATCTAGGATATGAGAAAGAAATGATAAAATTACGCGAAACAATATAAAAGTGAAATAGTATTGGCAGATGCGAGCCAACCAATATGTGCGTATATGAACTCGTTGATGTAACAAGAATAAAATTGAGAAGTAACTTCAAATGAAAATGGGAAAAGTAATACATTTCAATTTTAATATTTTATAGAACCTGGCGACCTGACCTCTGAGACGAACTTAAGAGCCGCTTAAGAAAAAAATTATTAAAGGGGAATACGAAGGGCGTTTGAAAACGTGAAGAGAGGAAATTGAGAGGAATTACAGAAATACTTAAAAAGAAATTGAGAGAAAATTAAGGGGAACCTGAAGAAATTTTGAGGAGAACTTAAAAATAACTTTAAGAAGATGGCAAATTTAAGAAGTCCAGGAAACTCTCACCTGGGGGTAATTATTGTACCAAGAAACTAATTATTTAATTAAGCATTTGATGCACGGAGGACATGCTCGGGCGCCACTGGTGTTTACCTCTCTCGGAACTAACGGATTCGGTCCAGATGTGTGGTGGGATCGCAATCGCCCGAATTCCGGTCCATAGGGCGAACATTCTTTCATTAGGCCGCTGCTGCGACGCCCGCATATCTCCAGGGTGGACTAAAACATGTTTTCGTGCAAG